GATTGGAGGGTGATGGGGGTCAATGCCTGAGGGCTCCCAGTATGTGAGAGGGGGAAGGCTGGGCTGAGGGACACTCCCCCCCACACACACACACCCAGTGCACAAATTTCGTGCACTGGGCCCCTAGTATATATATAAAAAGAAACACATAAGGAAGAATAGCAATTCCCTTTGGACCATCAGGGACAGGTCCCGAGCCACCAATGACAGCACTGAGAGTGGTGTGGGCTGCCTGGTCTACATGTGTCAGGGATAGAAATCTTCCTAGCCTGACAGAGCATGTCCATCAGTTCTTCCTGTCCACTCTTACGGAACAGTGACCCTGAAGTACGTCACTAGTTTGAAACAGTCAGATGGGGCTTTCTGTATGAAATTGAGATTTTTTTTATTACATGCAGATGTGCTTTAGAGTTATGTTTCTACAAAAAGGTTCTATAAACAATAGAAAACTTCTAGCATGAAGTCACAAGATGTTAAAAATAGTACAACACAATAAATACAACTATGCCCTCCACAGCCCCACTACAGAGAGGAGGAGACGGCTAACAGGTTTGGAGGGAACCATGCTTTGAGATGGCCTTCACAGTTGACAAGCCCAGAGTACCACCCCCGGGACGTGGGACAAGTGTGTGCCATAGAAACAGCTATACCAGACACCAGTCCTGTTTCCCCAGCTTCTCTCTTCCTGAGCCTCCCCTGCCTGGGGGCCAGCTCCAGCTAAAAGCTGCAGCTTCAGCCCACACTGCTCCACTCAGTCCTCACTGAAACCCTCGTCAGTGGATTGATGACAGCCCTCTGTCTTTTTGCAGAACACATGGACACACACTATATAGTTTCTGTATGGATTAAGCTTGTCTATGGCCAGCAATGACCTCAAGGCTAGGGTCCTGCATCCATGTATCCTACGCTTAGAGGACCATCCAGTGGTCTCTAGAATGGACTGGAGACTCACATTAGGAAGGCATATTTCCTTTTGGAAATGGCCCATGAGAGAAGTGGCCAGGGACCGGAAAGGCCATGAGATTTTTGAAGGCACCTGGACTCAGCCAGTCCTACGAGACCAGTGGCTTTGCTAGCTGCTTGTCACAGATGTAGCCTAGTTGGTCTGGATTATCCTTAGATGCCAATGGCATCACGTGACACTAGATGGGGTGCTGAGGCTCTTGTGCCTGAGTAGACCCTGGGGCTGGGGAAACCACACTGAGAGGTCATTCAAGGAAGGGCATGTGTGAGCTCTAAGGGGAATGTTAGCACTACTGATGCTGACCCAGCCCCGGTCCCTGAAGGTACACTTGATACTGCGTCCAGAGCTTAGCAGTAGCCTATACCATGAATCCCATCAGCTGACCAGATTCTTGCTCAAACAGTGAGGAAACTGGCCAAATTCAGCACTCAGCACCTGACCCACACATGCCCCTGGGAGATGTGGAAGGCTTCCTGCCAGCCCAGCAGCTTGGGGACTCCGTGGGACTTGCAGTGGTCCAGGAGAAACTGGTACAAGTCGTTCAGGGCTAAGCCCTTGCCACAGGCCGGCTAGTTGCAGTGTTGGGTATAGCACCCCTAGTTACCACTCTGCACATGTGTATGGCTGCATGGGGGCGGGAGAGCTTGGGGAGAAGGGCTGCTCTGCTCTAGCTTCTCTCTCTTGGAAAAGCCAAAACTCCAAGTAGAATGGGAGATACCTGGGAGGTCTAGACAGCATGGTGTAAGCCCTAACTCCCTTTTTGGACTTTAGTATAATTACTTCTAGCCCTGCACAGGGCCCACTCTCCAGCTCCAGACCTGGATCTCTCCAGGCTGACCGTGGTGGTAAGTGAGGTGGCAGTGGAGAGGGGCCTAGAGATTAGCTACAAAGGAGAAGAGATGACAATAAAGGCCAAGGAAGAATGCCCAAAAGCTTGATTCACGGTTCAAAGATGGTGGCCAGGCCGCCCTCCTCTTTGTCTAGCACCTCTGTCTCCAACACTGGTTTTGGTTTTTTGAAAAGTGATGGAAGATTCTTAATGTGAACTTCTTTCCGGAACTGCTCTCCCAAAGGTTTCTGTGGAAAACAAATGAGAAAGAACTAAAGCTGGACCCTGATAGTGGGTTGTTTTAAAGGTAATCTCACCGTAATGGTCAATGAATACAGCTGGTTTCTGGTTTGCCTGAACACATCATCTAAGACCGCAAGGTGGTTGGGAGCACAAAGGAAGGTGCATGACTTACCCCAATACAACCAGCAATGAGGCGTTTGAATTGGTCCTTCCTGCGCTTGTCAGCAACTTTCTGCAGAGAGGGGTTCAAAAGCTTGCAGTCAAACTGGTCCAGAGAGTCTTTCTGTATTTCAGGGATCTGCTCCATAACTGCTCTTATCTCCAGGTACCTGGGACGCTGAGATATAAGGATAAACCCACTAAGTGGAGTAGGTTTGGGCTCTGCCACTTCCCCCATGCAGCACTAGCAACGTGGCAGCTGCCTACACTTAGAGTAAGGCCCGGCTGTGAAGGGTGAAGCCTGGCTGTCCTGCCCGACTCACCAGCGCCTCGTAGATCTGGAAAGCCAGGTGCACGAGTGAAGCCATGCAGCCTTCATGCTGCCCGTGCGTCTGCAAGCCCTTCAGCACACTGCTGAAAAGCCATGTCACAGCATCTGCGAGCAGTGTCCCTGTCAGCACCTGGGGAGACAGCTATATTGAGGGCCAAAGTGGGACGCTGAAGGCCCCAGCACCCCAATTCCTCCAAATGATTCAGCCAATCCTTATGACCCAAACCTTGAAGGGGCAAATAACCATACTTGTTTGAGGAGGGGCCAGCACAGCTGGGTAGTCGTCCTCTGGCAGGACAGAGTATCCCTCCAGGCCAGGGAATTGAAGGCTGTAATCAATAATGCCGTACAAACATCCTAGGAAAAGGATGGAGGATTACAATGGGAAAGTAAGCACAACTTTCTCTGAGCATTAGGTATCAGGAGCTGGAGTTTTAATAGTAGGTAAGCAGGAAAATGGTAAGAGAAGTGGGCTTATTTCCTCTTTATGTAGATCAAACAGTCAAAAAGAAAAAACAACCAATATAGAAGAGGAAACCTAGTATAGGAAGGAGACAGAGCTCGGGCCTGCTTCTGAGTTTTTCTGAGAGCTTCTGCCCACAGCAACAAGGGAGACAACATGGCCTTGAGCTTTTCCCACTCTTTTCTCAAACTTCAGGAACCAGGAACTTAACTCATATGAAGGAGTATTACCCCAAAACTTTTCTGAAGGCATCACAGAGTGAGAACAGTGGGAGCTGGCTCCACAGCTGGAGAAGGAGAAACATCACCTTGCCCTCCACCCACCTCGTGCTTCATTAGGCATTTGCCCAGGTCTGTAAGCTCTGCCATGGCCGAGGGGGTTACCTCTGTGGCCATCATCTCTTCATCTGTAAGCAGAGAGCAGAATGTTAACTCCAGCCTTCCAGAGCAGAGCAGGCTCTCCTGTCCTGACAGAAGCTCACAGAATGCAGGAGAGCTCAGCAGCCTGGGCTGACTGGCGGCTGAGTCAAGCCTCATGAAAGGGTACAGAAGCCACTGTCCATGGCAGATCTAGAGAGCCATCTAGCTGTACATTTGGGAAACGGTGGGAAGTGAGGTTTTCTGGATGGTTACTTAAAAAGCTGCCATTGGTGAGGAACTTGCCATTGAACAAATATATGAAGACCTACTGTAGTAGACACTAGTTACTGGGGATATCACAGGAATAGCACAAAGTCCCTTCCCTGGTGGGAGCTGACATTCTAGTGAGAGACACAAATAATAAATGCATTCATAAATAATAGGTGACAT